AACCTCTAAATTTATACATTTGGATAGCCACCCATTATAAAAATCCCTTAATATGTAACAATAAAATGGAAGACAAAGAGATGTGGGTACTCAGTTAGGAGATCTGCTCAGCATAGACACATCATTGAAAACATAACATACCGTACTTTACCATCCTTTTCAGGATAATCCGCCAGATCCACACTACGAGATGCCATTATGTAACCATTAGGCGTTTTTCTGTATATTCGTGCAGATACAAAGTCTCGACCGCTTACAATCAGGATGTCATTATTGCCATACTAAAATAACAAAGGATTGGTTAGTCAATAGAAAGATAATTATATCAAACTATGACGAACCGATTAAGTCCAACAAAGCCACAAAAATGATGACTCACGGTGATTATATCAAAATGAGGAGTAGGCGAAGCAATCGTTTTGGCAAAATTAATGTTAGGATTCCATTTGGCTAGCCCTTTGACTCCCGTCCATGTTTCTTCCATCACAGAGTCAAAGTCAAGGTCTAGTTCAGTCTTAAATGGAGTTTTACACAAAAAAAGATTAACTGCTTCTTATTATCTACTTCCCAAACACTACGCTGCAGCTCAAAGAGGAAAGATTTTAACCAATAGTAAACTAAATTTCTATAAATGAAGAAAAAAAAAAATTTGAACGAGATCCCACCGAGACAGTAACCATTTTACCCTTGGGTGTGTGCTTTGAGTAGACCACAATCCCCTCGTCGTTCTCCGTATCGGCTTTCCAACCAATTCTTTCATCATATTCAGGATCGTTAAATAAGGTTTCGGCTTCTTGGAATGCTTCTGCTGCTGTCTTCAGAGCTGACGCATACTGTAAGAAGATGTATAAAGAAGAGTAATTAGCTAATGTAGTGCTTGTCATGACAAAAGATCTTACCATGAAGACAAGGAGGAACTGCACAATAAGTCTAATGTACGTGGTAAATAGATGAGAATTTAGTTAGAACTTCATTTTAGAGAAGCAAACGAGCTTCGAGAAGCCAAAGTGACTTTTCTTTACTTAATTGAAATATTCTACAGTTCATATGGAATTCCTCTCAATGTCTTTATGGGTTGAACTACTCAGAGACTTGAGATACCTTGGAAATAAGTATATTCTCGAGATTCTAGAAGAGTAAAGATGAAAGATTAAAAGAGTCTTGCACAACTCGTCAGTTAAGAAAGTCCTCAGAAAAAATGGAAGGTATCAACGTACACCATGTTATCCCAAGAATTTGAAAGAGACTGTCTCGACAGTACTAGACACTCTTTTAAACTTAGAACTTCTTTCAGCACACAAAATGAAGAAAAATATTTAGAAAGGAAGTTAATAATAATCTTGAAAAGCAATGATGGCTGCATTTGCAATTATCACACTTACCTTTTCATAGGGTGGTTCTATGGTATCCGTGACTCCATGCAGGGTGACAGAGGTCATCTTACAGTGCCCTGAAATATGTAGGAAGTTCAAAGTTGTACAAAAATACAAACTATGCACACAAATAAACTGAATCAGAAAATGAAAAAAAAGTTGCGAAAGCAAAACTAACATCTTTCTAAGCATGAGAATTCTTTAGAGTAAATTTTAAAGGCTTAAAGCGCTTTTTCTTTTTAAATTGAGATTTCGACACGATGTGACGAAACTTCAAATGGCAGAGATGATGTGAAAAAAATCAATGGAACAGCCGGTTTTTCCTCCATTTCGTTGTAATACAGCTTTTTCTTCTAAGACAACAAAGTTCTGGAAACTTACAACTTCCTCATCCATGAGGTAGAAAGATGACGGTACTGTGAGACAGATGCAATCCATAAAAGATAGCAAGATGCAAGTAAATGCGGAGCTCGCCCTACAGTAAGGTGCTGCCCTATGGCTAAAGTTCATTTCGATGCCAGTCAAGACTATGCTTAAATCATTGGAAATTCGCTCATTTT